CAGTCACTTAGCTACATTTTTACAATCATTGCTACCTTATATTTACAGTTTATAATGGTATTTGGTTCGGCCGTGTTAAATCGACCTATGGTAGCGGCTGCCGTGGAAAAACATTACGAAAAAGTGTTGGATCTACTCGACCAAGATTTGGCCCAGGAGCTTGTTAGTATCAATACCCTTTATTTTTTTCGCGACCAATAATATTGACATAGTAGTTGAAACCATTAATTCTGCTTGTCTTTAGAAAATTATCGACCGTCTATCAGGAACGGCAATGGTTACCGAAATTGAGAAAAGTGACTATTACGAAACGCGTTTCATACCAGAAGAAATGGATCTAGAGTACCCACTCGTTGCTAGAGCAATGATGTGGGGAAACTCACGGTTAAATAATCGATTGTTGGAAGATTTAAACGTTATTCGGTCTTTTGACTTGCCGTAAATATTACATAAATATATTGTTTACATTTTAATATTTAACAAATTGCTTAGGTACTATGCAATAGTTCACTAACTTTTTTACAACTCGTGTTATTAAATGAATCTTGTTTCACTATTTCTCGGTTAGCAAATTGACGTGGCTGATATAGTTCAATGCCGTAGCTGGGGGGGGGGGGCTTAAGGGCTTAAGCCCCCCGTCCCCCGAAATATCAAACTTACTATACCCTCTATCCCTACCAATAAAATATTGTAGACCCCTCTAAAAAAATCTTACTAGGTATATGACATAATCAATTTTCAATTTCAATATCAAAAATATTTTTCCAACCTAAAAAATGGCAAACGAGAATCGATTGTATTGTGTTATTATTATTCATACTTAATAATATGAAAAATAATTTCAAATTAACAATTAATAAACGAATAAGCTATAGGTATTAATTATTAGCTGCCAGCAGCATAAATATGTACAAAGTTTACAAAGACTGCCTTTACACTGATATAACTATATACGTAGTTAATGCACTATTTAATTAAAAATGGTATGTTATACCTAATATAGGCTATATTTTGAAGCCCATAAAAAAATCTAGTAATGATTTATCATTTAGAGTAATAGTAACAAGGTTCAAAAAAAAAATTAATCAACTAATAACTAGGTACCCGTCAAATATTTAAGCATGTAGGTAGGTGGTGTATAGTGATTTTTTAAGCATGCTCGCCCTATTGTTATGCTAAAATTATTCATGTACTCAAATTCTGTTTTTTGGAATTTTTAAATACAATTATTGAAGACCAATGACCATATTTTTAAATACCTAGTTGAGATTTTTTGTACTACTTAAGAATAAAACTGTGAAATTCAAACTAATTTTTTTCAAATTGGCAATCATACTTTTCACTATTATAGTTAATTCAAGTTATTGTTATTCAGCAGTTATTTTTTATTGAGAATGAAATCCAAATCAAAATTCGAGCAAGTAGTTTTAGAGTTCTATAACTTTGCGTAGGTACTAAGGATAATATATCTATGGTAATATATGTTAAGTAGATTAAGGAGCTATTCAATAGAGTTTTGATTTCGATTCATCATAACTTCCAAGAAAATCATCCGCTTAATAACTAGCGGTTAAAAAGGGAAGAGGGGGTATTGTAATATCAAGGTTGCTTTTTATTCAAAAAATACTTTATTCTTCAGTATAATAAATATAATTAATACATTTGTATTAATGAATGAAAGTGTGAATATAATGATAAGAATTTATTTCATGTATAAATTTAGTGTTGTCATTTTAATATTCTCGTGAACATTTTCTTTGTTGTACAGAATCATGAAAACTCCAAGAGGAGATCAAATCAATATAAAGTCTGAACAATTAAAGGATAAATTTAAAAATTATTTAAGTCCTATAATTGAGGAATGGAAGCGTGTTGTACCACTACAGATACAAGACAAAATAGTACAACCACTATTCACGATTAACAAAAATAACATAATCAGTCTAAACTTTTCTGAAGAAGTAATCATTTTTTTGTTTACCTATATTCAATCATCATTAACTGATTATTTTTATTTACATTTATATAAAAAGTTGGATGCAGCAATAAAAGTAACCAGATATATAATACTCTGTAATTACAATTTCAAAAATCCAATATTGACGATTGAAACAGATGACATACCCTACGAAGCAATTAAGCTCTATAAACGAGAAAAACTGATTTTGGAGTATAAAAGAGATATTGAAGAAATCGTTAAATGGTTAGTAATGTTATTTAGATTTTTAATTTTAGTACCTACTTTCAACATTTTTTAAACGTTTGCTAATAATAGTTGATTATTTATATGTTTAAATGATATAGCTAAATATATTCAATTATTAGAAAAAAACCCTATCTATAGTTACAATATTCCAAGTTGCATACAATTGAATTAATACATTCAATAAGTCAAACATTAAACTATATTCACTAAATTATTTTTGATGGACTGTAATCACACTATTCATTCATTAAAATATGTTCAGAGTGATTGTTCATGAGAGCCGGTATTAGAGTATTTTACTATTAGGTTGACATTTTTTTTCATTAAAAGTTTATTTGAAGTGATTTTTAATTTGTTATCAAAATTCAAAATTATGTTCTTATAAGAAAAAATTCTGATTTTAAGTATACCTATTTGTCTGCTACAAAATTACATTTGATAATATAGGTATAATATGCTGAGAACTGAAACACACCCTACAGAATTACAGTTAATTATTCAAGAAATCGAGAATATTGATAACCTTATTGATGATGCTCAAAAGTATGTTACGTGGAATACGGAAGGTAAGCAAAATGTTTTATTATCTCTACTAAATAACTAATACGGTATTTGGACGTTTCCTCCCGTCAATTTTAGAGGTACTGGACGTTTCCCCCCTCGGACAAAGACACCCCCCCCCCTGAATCAATAAATATTTTTTTTTACATAAAAATAGATTGGAAAATAGGTTCTTTAGTTTTACCTGAAACATAAAATCATCATAATATCATGATATTTAAACATTTTTAATTCAGTGTTTGGGGGGGGGGATGTCTATAGAATCGGGGGCGAAAAGGCATCGGGGGAAACGTAATAGATTCAACTAATACATATCAATAAATCATATAGATAACTAAATAAGTATAATATCATCTTATAAATAGATATTGTTTACTCAAGTGAAAATGATTTGCACGAAGAAACATATACAGAAAGTGAACAGTTTATGTCACCAGTATCGTTACAAAATACAATTAGCACTATTCATAGTTTAACTAAAAATGTTTATGAGCGTGTAATTCAAACTCACGAAAATTTTCAAAAAATAATTACCCTGAGTAGTCAATGGAATAATAAGCCAATGTATGTGCGTGATAAGAATACAAATCGTATAACATTTGACAATAAGTTGACTGAAAAGAAAATCGCTAGGTACGCCGAAGTGCGTGACGCGAGTATTGAGATACAACAATTGCTTATGGAAGATCTTTTATTATTTCACAATGTGCCATTATTGGATCCAAATTTGGGTAAGTTAACTTCATCACATTCATCTTTGATTTGTTAATGACATCAACATGGCCTATTTTTAAATAGATATATATTAAACTCCTTTTCATAAATATGTTTCACGATAGATGCTCCTAAAAAGTGTTAATAGCAAATATTTTAGACAGCAGTTCCCAACCTTATTAAACTTTAAGATTAACATGATATAATACATACATGTGATTTTTTAAGCATGCTCAACTCATATTTATGCTTACAATATGCATGTATACAAATTCTGACTTTTTGGAATTTTTAACGCTATGTCTAGAGGACTTACCGGGCGCTCGTCGGTCACTTTGTGTAGAATCGGGTCCTTCATTTGAATATATAGCATTAGTTCATTTATTGTGGAAACTTAAATTGTTTATTTGGTTTAAGCGTAATAATAACCTTATACTTTTATAAGTATTAAGCCTTTTAGTTGTGTTATCTTATACAGTCTGTACTGATGATCCATCTATACAAGTTTATCTCTTCTTCATAATTTTCTTCCATTAGTATTTCTCCTAAAATAATTTTTTCTTGATGTTGGAAACAGAAACTGTCTTAGAAGAAATGGAAGAAAAAATATTAGATGGAGAAGTAGAAGAAGTAGAAGGCAAAAAATATGGAGAAGAAATAGAAGAAATATTAGATGAAGAAGTAGAAGGCAACAACTATGGAGAAGAAACAATAGACGATGACGAAATAGAAATTCAGACTGATACTATTTTAGAAGAATTTATTGAAGGAGAAGTAGAAGAAGAATATTACGGGGAACAAAAACAAGATTACATACATATTCAGGCAGAAATTATTTTATCGAACATTGAAAGAAAGTTAATGTGGGATAAATATAAACTCTTTGTTGATGAAATAGTATTTACTGAGTTACAAGATGCGACTCTTTGCAGGTAATAATATAATTATGAAATATTACAATTTCAAAAGTTTTTAAATGTGTGAAATAAATACATTATAAAATAGTCGGTATATTGATGTAAGGATGTATTTTCAATTTTTAAAAATCATTCAAATAATAAATTCTCTTAATTTTTTAATCTAGTGAATCTTAATACTTACCTAATTATGTAGTAGTAAAACCTTCAAAGTTATTCACTATTTTACCGTTCCTAAAATATTATTTTATATTGGAATATAACATTTTAAATAATTAATTTATCCATGCTAATAGTGTTCACTAGTTTTTAAATTATGTTAGGTGATCTGTAGTAACATCTTATTTATATATACAACAGCTATTTACAATAATTTTAAATAATGATTTTAATCACATGCATTACCTATATTTGAGTGTAAATTTGACATATTAATTTAAAAAAATATATTTACAGTCTCAAGTATATCAACGATGAAATAACAATTCCAAATGGATCTTTAGCAATATTTATTGTCATATACCTTCTCGATAATGATAATTTCCCCCGTTTCTCGCCTAATTTGGAAATCGACGATGAACCAAATTTCTATGGATTAATTACTTCTTTACTTGAAGACATGGTTGAAATGGGATTGTACATGGAAAGAATTGCTGATAGCTATCCACCATATAATGTAAAAATGTTGAAATAGTAATTATGCATTTATTCAAATTTAATTTTAAATATCAAATTGTAGGTAGATATTAGGAATGTTGAAAAGGTGGTGGAATATATAGATAACATACTTGATCAAGTTAAGATTACAACCAATAAGGTAAGAAATAAAGCATAGTTAATTGTTCTTATTACTTGTATATTATTTACTAGATTAATTCCTATTTCGATTTTTCTATTTCAGGCTCTTGAATATATTGTACAGTACCAAGAGTATTCTATGGTATGGCTAACTAATCAAAACGATGCATTGTCATCTTTTCTATTATATGGTAGAGATCTGTCATTGGAAGAACTAGAAATTCAATATGACGTTGACGAAGACGGAAATCCATTAGTAATACATTCTGCTCCAAAACTGATTGATTTTCAAAACAAAGTATATACAACAAAAATATATACATTTAATTGGTTGTATAAAATATATTTGAGGTTGAATATTGTGTTGTATTTAGATTAACTCATTTGATAATATTTATCAAAAAGTCGATAAAATAGATGAAATCGTGACGTTTGATTTTTGGTTAACTTTAGACATTAAACCATTTAAAAGGGATCTTTTAAAACTAATTACAAGTTGGTCAGATTTATTTAAAACTTATTTGGTCAACAAAGTGGTGAACAGGTATACTAAAATAAACCTGATTAAATTAATATTTTTCTATATATATTTTTTGAATTATCTAGTTTGCGTTCATTACGAGATTTCACAATAGAAACAGATATTGGTCTTTTAAAACCATTAGAAGAAGGGGACTATGAAGGTCTTGTTAAAATCATGGGACATTTATTTAATGTTCGAGAGAGACAAGAAGAATATGATTCAATGTTCGAGCCAATAGGAGAAATATTACATCTACTGAAAGTGTATGACGTAGAAATGCCAGAAGATGTGTATATTTTGAAGCAGGTATGATCATTATTATATTATAGCTAACAATAAGCCATAAGGGAATAATATTCAATATATTTACTATAGTTTATAGTTGTTAATTTTACAATTTAGCATAACTAATAAATTTACTTTTTAACTAATTAATTTCACAATGCCTGGTATCAGAAACAGTCAATTTGGTTTTTTGTTTAAGATTCTGACTTCTGAGAAAACCAAGGAATATATTGTTTTTATAATAGCTCCTTTTGTATTTAATTTTTGAGCGATAAATATAAGATTTCAAATAAGCTGTTTTTAAATTATTGGAAATGTTAAGGCACAATTTTGATTTATGAGCTTTTGACTTTGTTAAAATTGGATATTTAATGGATATATGATAGTTTGTTTCTTTAACGGTTAATGCTATTTTGATGTACAAAAATATTAATCATAGATGACTTAAACTTCCCAGCATTACAAAAAAAAAAAAATTTTAAAACAAAATAGATTAATAAATAATACTAAAAAAATAATAAACAATAAATAAATAATAATAATAATTAATACTTAAAATAAAAAAGGTTTGATTACTTATTTATTTTACTTTATTAAAATAGAAACTCTAAACAGCAGTTACAAAGAGGTACAAATACAACTTAAATCTGAGTTATAAAAAATAAAAAATTATGCAAATACAAGATATATTAGGGAGTATATGTTATATATTTTATACATGCTGGAAAGTGGGTGATGCAAAGTGACTTATATTTGTATGAGGTGATGTGACTTAGAATAGAGAAAGGAATCTATTAACTTGTAGAAAATATTATAATCTCAGAGGTTAGGTTAGTTCTATTGAATTGAAGGTGATCACGTTTTTTGGCAATTATAAAGTTTCTAAATGTTTTGAGATATTCAACAGTTAAATTTAGATGGATTTATAGATTTCAATTTATCTACATATCATTTCTAAAGAAGAAAACGGGACCATTATGGCATTATGCTTGTATGGCTGTATCAATTAATAGTGCAGTTCATTTTGAGAATGTTTGTACAAGTTTCGTTAATGCTTGTTCTCTAATCTTGACTATATTTCGTATTTAAACTATAATATGGCATTATGATGCATTTGAAAAACACACGTTTATGTTAAATTTATTTTAAGGAATTACCGGAAAAATGGAGCATAACTAAGAAAAATGCTTTGAACGTCAAATCTCAAGTAATTCCTTTAATTCAAATAGAAGGATCAGTAATAATCGGGAGAATAATTTTGTTAAACGTGCGAGAAACGTTTTTCAAAATGAACTTTATAAAACAGGCTCAATTTAAGTAAGCATTAAGTTTCTATTTAAAATTTGTAGTTTCATCTCA